CCATTTTGATTTCTCCATTGAGACAATCCCTCAATACTATACATAAATGCTCTTTATTGCTAACTCTATCAAAACCTTTTTTTATTTACACTCTCGTGCTCACACTGTCCATTAATACTCTTGCTAATACTCGCTAAAAATGCTCTTTGTTGATGCTCTATGTTGATATGCCTATAAAATCCCCTGTAAATGCTCTCTATCAATGCCTTTGTAGATCCCTATGTTGAAAAAATAGATTACTAGCTTTTGTCGACACCCTTGGACTGCCCCGTCAATAGCATCTCTAGCAACCAATGGGCCAGTATCCATCATTTAATTGAGGATTTTATCTGTGCCTATCCAAACATATATCTCAGTGCCGTACCACAAACTCTTTACACATATGATTCGCATTGGACTCTCATACATGACTACCAGAGTATTGGTTTTGCTCCAACAAAGTTTACAACCTCTGGGCAACAAACATACGACAATATATCTTAGCCCATTATTGTTTCCAAATTCAAATTGTCATTTTCTATATCTCCTTAAAATCGTTAAGGATTGCTACCATAAACAATAAACATATCATCACAAGTGCCAAAAAAAAAAAAACATATAGCAAAGATCTTCACTAATTATTATAGTGATATGGTCTCGGTATTGATAATATTTTGTTTTTTTTTTATTCCCTTCTTTTGGCCACATATAAGCTAATATTAAACAAATTAAATACAGATGTGATTCTCTCATAAACTTTCTCCATCTAACATGGAAATAACACATTCATTAATGTGTCGTTAACTTCTATAGCAATCCTCATCATTCCATATTTATTGCCCCAGAATCACCAAATTAAAGCACTTATACTTGTCAACGACTCTTTGGATCAAACTACTTCATAAACGGCAAATTTTATGAGTGGCATTGTAATTGAGAAAAAATAGAAAGTGAACAATCCTAATGGTTAGTTGAACAAGAGGTTAATTAAAGGTTTGTTACAACAGATAAAGAAGTACTGCTCTCGTCAGATAACTAAAGATGTAGCCAAACTAGCTGTCAGGAGCTCAAGTCAAGACAGCATGCGGCAATTCTAAGATAGAAAGTTGATACACCAAACATCCTTACAAATTCTATATACTGAAAGTAATTTCATTGCAATGTAGCGTACCATTTTTTTATCAATACAGAGTGCTTAAACCCTGAGTAAACCTACATAACAACAAAGAGAATAATAAGATATATAAATAAAGCTGTTTCAATAGTACTCTACAAGTAGAATTTATCCTCCACATGTGAAGTTTAGACATAGCAGATTTAGAGAACAACTAGAGTAACAAAATTGGACTTATAAATAATCAGATGCAAACAAGCAAGCATTAAACCTCAAAACCCTGAGCCTATCAATTTCTTTATAAATACATGACATAATCTGATAATGATATTTTATGAAGAAGCATATGATGTTTGCCGTTTGTTAAAAAAATTGAATATGCTTAAGATAGCAAAGACAACTAACAAGCAAAACGGCAGAGAGGAAAGCAGTGAAAGACTCCATTTGCAATAAATAAAATTTTTCTTTCAAATTATGCCTTAAAGGTTGTTCAGGAATTCCAGCAATGGGAATAGGTGTGGATCAGGTTATTAGGGAAGAAGAAAAAGCAGGTTAAAAGTGAATGAAAGACGGTAAGAGAAAAGCAGAAGAGATCGAGAAGATTAGAGAAAAGATCGGAAACAGAAATCTGAGTAAGTGGCAAAGATTAGCAAACCAAGAGAGAATAAATCAAGAAAGATACAAGAGAGGGGAGATAAGGAAAGCTTAAAAAGGTGCAGCCGAAATCATCCAATAGTAATCATTTAAGCCATAAGTTTTTTTAGATATCGATAGTAATAAGAAAAAGCTTCAGATTTCAATAAAAAGAATTCAAACCCTTCATTTAATTTTGTATAGAAAAAGAATTCAACGTGCTTATTGTAAATCATACAATATTAACTACATTTTAAAATTTTAATCAATCCTTTTTTCTAAATTACTGAACTACTACGATGAAAGATATTTCACCAACTTCACCATTATCATATTTTTTTATTAATTATATGAGAGCATTCTAATAAATTTCGTATATTCATATTATTCCTAATATAAGAAAGACATGAAATGTCAGGCTGAGTGTTGCTTACTAGCATAAAAAATGTCTAGATTCATATAATAAAGTAATTTAATTATGCTATTTCAAAAACTAAATTTTTTTTACAATATCATGCCTTCTTGTTTCATGTTTAGTTTAAATGGAGAAAAAAATAGCATTTATTAGTAAGAATTAAAAATTCATATCTCATAAGTTTTTAAAATATAAGAATTTTCTTCGGCACTATTAATGAAAACATATCTTTTAGTTACAAGAGTTACTAAACAAATATTCATATGAAGATATCAAATTTATCTTTGTTAGTGAATATTCATGGAAGGAACAAATTATTAAATCAAGTGGAAACAATAGTTGATATTTTTTAGCGTATGGCAGATGATATTTCTCTCTGACCAAGGATATTTAGGGGATGTTTGGTTGCAATTATTCTAAATTCATGGATTTTACAAATATATGGTAAAATGAATGTTTTTTATTCAGAATATTCAACATTGTTTGATTGTCTAAAAAATATATAAAAGGGAATTATTCTTTAAGTTTGGTAGGATGTAAAGTTTAGAGTACAATCTACCAATGAAATGCAATGGCAAGATTATTCCTCACCATTTTTACATCAAAAAAAAAAAAATCATCAAATTTTTTTTATGTCCTGAACACCATCAGAACAGACAAAAAGAATAAAAATAGTTAGTTATTTTGATTAGCATGGGCACAAATAATAGATTTATTATGTACTGTGCAACTATCATCAACATAGTCACGGACTTCATCTCCTAATACCCATAAATGTTTTATTGTTATTCTGATTAAAGTAGTTACACTTCTTATTCAACTCATTACAGATGAAAAAATTAAGTTTGTTGAAATTGAATTTAGTGAAACGATCTCTAAATATTATGATATGAGATCGTTACAAATCATAATATTTGGGGTTCTTATCGTAACGTACAAAAAAAAAAAAAAAATAAAAAGCATGAATATGTTATTTGATTGTATCGTATATATTACATAATGTTGAAGGCTTAATAATCTCATGGAATAATTCTCCTATGATATATAACACAACATTGAAATGCTCAAGGATTCTCCAAATTAGTGACAATTGGATAAAATCAATGTCTAAAATTATGCAGTTGAGTATTAAGATATTTTTTTCTTAGTGAAGCCTAGAGTAAGCCCAAGGCACCTTGAGACAAGCTTCAAAATCAAAAAATTATATAAAATAAAAAATGATATACTAACATCAGAGTATGAAATAAAAAAATTACATACCAATATCCTAACATTAAATCATTAAGAGGTGTTATACAAACATAAAAAAAAAGATATCAAAGTAATAACATAATATTTTAAAATAAGTTCAGCATAAGAAATTTCTCTCACTCCCAAATCAAATTAAGAACATGCAAGAGACTAAGATCAGTACTTTTGTAAATTTAGAAGTCCACGACACTGTTGTTTCATTATGATTTTATAGAAGTTATGCAATGATGAAATGCTTCTCATTGTGATGTGATATAGCTATTGGATTATAACTTAATTGAACATTATCCAAACCTCATTTGAATCCAGTTCTAGCCATGATTGAACCATGCTTCGAATGTGATCAATGCTTGTTTGAAATTAGTTTAAATCAATTTTAATTGTGACAAATTTAAAAGAATAGTTCGTGATCAAAAGCGGTAGTATTTTAGTTTGGAAGGTAGTTTGAGCATATTTCCTGAAGAAAAAAATTGTGGTCATATTTCAATTATGGGGGATATAAAGTCAAATTTCCAAGTAAAAAATAGTGTTTTTGTTAATATATTTTATTTATATTTATTGTGAAAAAATCAATCTAAACTCTATTTTAAGAAAATCAACCAAACCTAAATAAGACACAAGCCTCTTAAACTTAGAGGCAAGGCGTGGATTGAGGTACACCTTGCATACCGTGAGGCGTGCATCTCATATGAGAAGCCATGATGCACAGATCTCATGGCGAAACTTCTTGAAAATGCGCCATGGTGTGCCTCGCATTCCATGGCTTTAAAACAAGAATAAAATAACATGCTCATAAATATTATGCCAAAAGATAACTTTTTTCTTCAATGCATGCATTGATTGTATCCAGAAGTAATCTTCTTATTGAAAATAAATTGCATAATTTGACAAAAGATTCCCTTCCACATTTGTAACATGCTAATACAATTAAAATCAGACATGAGATATAACCTAGAGATACATTATTCATGTTGGATATTCCGTTTAGGATTAGACCTCCATCTTTCCCTTCCTAATTCATATAATGGCACAAAAATAAAACTACAACAAAAGCAACCTGGCGAACAAGTAAATAACTCTGAATGCTTATCAACTATGTGTCAACCCAATGCTCATCCTACTCCATCGATCACTCTCCATTATTTTATAATGGCTTAGCCATCTTTACATACACCCATTGAGATCGAATCTCAAACAAACTCAGCCGTAAACTTGAAAATGTTAAAATAAAATCTGAAAAACTTAGGCAAATGCAGGATATAAAACAGTACAGAGGTGATTCATAACCAAAATTGTTTCAGAGATCTCGTGCTACTATTGTTAGTGTGAAGAATAATTCCAACATTCAAGAAAAAAAAAAAGAACAAATCAAAACGAAATCGCGATTATACATGCTACATTGTAATGTTCTCTTCATTACGGGACGTGTTCGACCATGTACAGGGAAGTGTAAAAGACACAAGATTATTGAATAGGATCAAAACGCAAAAAGAAAGGAATATTAGAAGTTTATCGACTGAACACAGCAACAGCTCCATTGAATGGAAAATCTGAAACACAAAACAGCAGAATCTGCAAATATTTGAAAATAAAAATAAAAATAAAAACCTGATATCGATTGCGGAGGAAAACGGTGGGAGGTGACGAATTTCGCTCGCAGCACGAAAAAAATTCTCGGCTGTTATTAATATCTAAACAGTTTTTGGGAAATTTACATTCCGATATACTTCATTTGCTTTACATAAAACATTAAAAAATATTAATATATATATATAATGAAAGATCTATTTCCTAGTCTTCTTTTCTCTTTTTTTTTTTTTTGGCCTATTTATAGATTAAGAAATAAAGGGGAAAAAAGGAAAAAAAAAAGTACATAGAAAAAATCTAAAATTTTAAAATAAATATGGTTTTTTTTTTAAATAAGATAAAAGAGGAAAAAAATCTCTTCTACTTTACTCATTAATTGATTGTATATTATAATTTAAATATACTTCAATTTCTTTGTAAAATATTTAAATTAAGATATATTTATGGCAAAACCACAAAAAATTAAATTTCATACATAGCACAAGATTGGAATTCTCCACTTAATTCCATGCATTTCCTCACATTCTTATTTGCATGTCTTATACGTCAAGTACTACATATATATATATATA